CACACACACACACACACACACACACACACACACACACACACACACACTTACTGGCAGCTGTACTGGTACAGTCAATGAGGTAGCTCATTGTGATAAATGAATGAATGGGCGAGGGCTTTCCCTGGTGTTATTCTCTCACCTCGCCCGTCAAACGTTTGGTTCATTAAGTCAAAAAGTCGTGCTTGTCCTCTAAGTTTTCACATCCAGAGTAAATGAATTGGAAACAAATCAAATCCAACAAGCTGCAACGATTCGGTCATGCCCTGCGACCATTTTACATGCCCTTGAATATTGCTCATGTGGTTGCTCGCCTTCTGAGGCTTCTCATTTCGGAAACTCATTTTGTAATTTTTCTAATGTTTTCAGCCCGCTTGGGTTTATGGCACTTACTTTCTGTCCCTGTTGGGTTGGAATGTCGAAATCAAACATTTTAGATTTCAATGCTTTGGTTTATGACCAAATACCTGCAAAACTAATGACTCACTGATCAGTCTCTTGTGTTTACTGCTAATAAGCAAAATGTTGCAATCTAACAAGCTAAACTAACTTTGCACATAACTTAGCACTTTGATTCAGCACATACCACTTTTAGTTAATATGCACTTTTTCCTTTTAGCATTTCAACATTTCATTATTGTGTTATATCTTACATGTTTTATTGAGATACGTGTGCCTGACCACGCTAACCATTATACCTGCTTAAGCCTGCTGATGTTAGCATTTAACTCAAAGCACCGCTGTGGTTACTGCCTCTATAGTCTCACTTTAACTTTACCTGACCCGGTCTGATCTGCGTGCTCCTCTATCCAGCATGAAGTCAATCAAAATATGAACTTAAGGACAAAATAAACATGGGCTTCATACTCACAGGCTACCTTTAGCCCACTTCTGTCAGACATACTGCATCGACTTTGGATGACTCACAGGGTATGTCCTACTACATTTGTTTAGGGATTTAAGAGATTTCCCGGTAATCTACCCTGTAACACCTCTGCTCCTTTCTAAGTTTCTCTCTGATTGTCTGTGGCACGTGAGCCCTCACGAACGCCAAGGTCATTTGGGCACTCTAGCAAACGACAAAAACAGCCCGCAGTTATATCCCCACCTACACAAATGGTAATTCAATCTGTGTTAAATAAAACGTGAGATGTATAGTCTTCTCCTACGTTCAACAAAACGCCCGGTGTGTTTTCTGTGAGGATGGCTGAGAGGACAAGATGTAGAGGAGTCCAGTCAGCTGCCATCTGGCCCGGGCTTTATGTTTCAGCACCACGGACAGCGCGCAGAGCAGCGCTGCTCTATTATTAATGCGTTTGTTTCTGATTTCCAGACAGATCCACCTGACAAACAACAATCCATGAGGCCATTAGGCAAGGATGACGTCGACACATCACAGTATTTATGTCGCATTTAATGACAATTGGAATAAGTTTTTAAAAAAGAAGAAAAAAACTCAGTATATCCACCTTTTGTTGTTGTTGCAGGAATACAGTTTAGCACCAGTACTAATTAAGTTCATTGACTCACAGCTACTGCTACCAAACCGATTTTACGACAAGGCTTGGGGCTTTAACGGGGTTGTGAGGAAATTAATGTTCCCGAAAGCCAATGATTTCTGTTCCTGCTGGTGTTTGTTTTCTCAATTACCCACCTTTTCATTTAACACCACTCCCGCTATCTAACGTCACCACGGGGCACCTTGGACGCACTGGGGGAGTGTTGAGGTGACTTGAGGGCCTGTGGGTCATCGGTCATTGGTCCACAGGACCCTCAAGCATCTCCGGCTCAAGCAGCCCCGGCTCAAGCAGCCGCCTCCTTCTCTGCCACAAAAACGCCACACACCATTCATTCCGACGACTTGGCGGACTGCGGATGAGACTCTCTCTTCGGGAGGAGGAGGAGGAGGGGGAAAAAAGGAAAAACTTTTGGTCAGGAGAGTGCCTTGAGAGTCTGATGGGCGTTTAGGTTATCTGGGGTAAAGTGATCAGTGCCCGCGTATGGATTACCGATAAGTGCAAAAAGGAGCGCGGTCGTGGCATTAGTTATTTATATATTCCCGTAAAGCGGCGGGGATGAGAGAGAGACGCCACAGTGGCGAGGATCGCCCGCTCTGAACCGGAGGAGTCACCGGCAGATGATGTCCCAACGTGAGAGTGCTTCCAGAGGAGACGAAGGAGGATGAAGCAGGGGGGAGAAGGATCGAGAGCGGCAGAGGTGGAATATAATGAAGTTGAGTGGGAAAGGACTGTGCGCCGTCTTCTCCAGCACCCTCCTCTTCGTGTGCGCCCTGAGCGAAGTTGTCGTTGGATTAAGATGCGTCTCGTTGGGATCTACGGTGAGAGCGCATTTCCACCTCGGCGCCGCGGCCGGGGCTTTCTACTCCGGGCTACTTCTGGGAATCGGGCAGGCGCTGCTGGGCTCCGCGCTGCTCTTTTGCGTGGAGAAGCCCGGCTGCAGGAATTTCTTTCTCCTCGGTGTTGTGGTGTTCTTGTTGGGAGTCCTCACCGCCTTCTCCGGCGCGGTGGTGGACGGGGACACGGCTTCCCTGGTGGAGAGGAAGTACACCCATTACTGCTTCCACCCGGTGGTTGCGAACCGTGCCTGCGAGCATCTGAGGGAGTACCAGCGGAGTCTGGTCGTCTCTACTGTTCTCAGCACCTTGGAGTGCCTCCTCGGGCTCATCAACCTGGTGGTCATCAAAAGGTACAAAACAGCGCAGTTCTCTAGGAACCGAGAGTCCCAGAGGCAGCGCGCCGGTGCGATCATCTTCAGCGAGGAGCGGGACTGCTCGGGGGATTTCCAGCCGGTGTCTTACATCAACCTGGGTGTTTTTAATGTGTTTGACGAGACAGGTGCAGAAGTGCAGTGCGGGGGACACCCGTCCATCGAGCTGCCGGGATACTCGCCCACGGACCCGGAGCTCAATCATTGCTTCCCTTTCTCCTACCCGCTCCCCAGCGAGCTGCCCCCCGCATACGAAGACATTTTCCCCGCCGAGGCATGCAACACATAGCCGCTCTGGAGCAGCCGCAGCAGCGTTTCTCCTCCGCTGTGACAATCAATGTCTCTGTGCTTAAACAATGCCCCTCTTCTTCTCCTCTTCTTCTTCCAACAACAGCAGTAAGTTACACAGTAGGGCAGCAGCAGTGGATTTGAATTCACCTGATTTTCTTCTCATTCTGATATTTTCTTACATCTGCCTGGTAGTGTGTAGGCTCCATCACCAGTCACACTGGCGAGATGAACAGATAAGTGATCTGGCCCAGACAGTGCAGGCAAATCAAGGCCCATAAACGCAACAGCTTGCTAGTATAACAAAAGCAGAGTTTATGTTTTGAATGTTTGCTGTTGACATTTCTACTTGTGAATAAAAAGTGTATTTAACCTCATCTGACGTCATGAAGCTGCTGCAATAGCTTTTGGAAATCATGTCGATGAAACTTGATTTTCAAGGTTTCAACCGACTTCCTCTGATTGTTATGGGGCTGTGTAGTTAATTAATTGAACCTTTCTATTTGATAATCATCAGGAGCCATGCAGTCTACAATATAAGCAATTGAGCAATTAAGAGAGAAACAAAGACCCCAACTTTAAAACCCACTTTAAAGGAACACTGCAGTACTTTATTATTTTGTTTTCATAACGTTGGGGAACTCAAAATACATTCATTAAAAAAGAGCATTCAAAACTGAATTAGCAGATTACCAAAACACACTGACTTTTAGGCCCACGTGTGGGTAAAGCATACATTTCCCATAATGCAACAGGTTAACAGGTTTCACAAAACTATCCTTGTCTGGCAGGGAGACACACCCTCTGTTTGTAGCACAGGCTTTCTGTTATAAGTTTAAAGTCTCCGCCTCAAAACTGAGATAACCCTAATGACATCACTATGACATCATCGTTTTAAAAATACTTTGCAGCGCTCCTTCCAGAGCCGTCAGAGGACATTATATAGGCCTAACTGTTTTCCCAGGATGAGTAGGCTATTAGCACTTCTCATGACAAGTAAAGACAACTTTAAAAAGTCTAACAGTGTTACTTATAGGTCCAGTATTGTGGTAATTATTTAACAGACCAAAGAGGCACATATAGAGGAATAAAGTAGGAGCAGATCGGACATTCCCATTGAAATCAACGTAGCTGGATGGTCAGAGTGGCGTCTATTTTTATGTGCGTCTTTGCCATTGCGACCGTATAAACTAAGCCGACTTACAGCAACAGGAGGAAGGGGCACACTCACCGAGGTGAGGTTTTGAAGTAACCACTAATCTGAGCAGTGGAGTAACTTTACGAAGCATAGAGAGCAAGAGTAAATGATTAAAAACTTACAAGTTAGTGCTTCATCCACACACTCTTGTCATAGCATAGGAAAGCACATTGCTATCGCCAGATAAGTGACAACTTTGTTCAGCTTATTTTCTGTAGCCGGTGTAGCATTAAAGCATGCTAACTAGCGGACAGCTGGTTTAATGCTACACTGACTACAGAAAATGAGCCAAACAGCGGGCTGGTGGCCAGTGCCCCGCCTCACTCCTCACCGCTCGAGGAAGGACAAGCTACCTAACTAGCCCGTCATCTGTCTCTGGAGCTGCAGCTGCTCTCTTCCACCGGTGAGAAACAATTACTCTTTAAGGCCCCACTGACATGTGTTCTCACCATGACAACTAACAACAATCTCCATTGTCTTTTGTGCTAATCAAATGACCATGGAACACTCTTAAATGTCTATTCTAATCCTATGCTGTTTCTCTGAGCTATAACTGGTAAGATTGATAAGACTGCTATCAATGATAATGAGTATGTGGGAGAAGCCGAGGGACAAGGTGAGCCTGAATGCACCACAGCTCATTTGTTTTAAAGTAGCAGAAGGAGAGATTGTAGAAAAAAAACTTATTTGTGTTGTTTTTTAATGCACCCTCAGATAGCAGGGTGTCCGGTGATGATACAGACTGAAGGTGGGCCTGCATCGTTTCCAATTTAAAAAATGTAAACTGCGCAGCACTGCCTCCCATATTGTTCCATTTGATGTGACTTTAAATCATTTATTAATTCCACCGCACACAAATAACCACATGAGCTCACAGCAAGGATCCTTCAAAAGCATCATCAACCTCATTGTTTCTAATTTCACTTAAAAGCTAGAACAGTGACAGAAAAAAAGGTAGATGTGTCTGTCATGATTATGTGCCCGCCTTCAGACAACACCGCTCAGTGGTAAATCAAACTGTAATGGTCCATTTTCAGTCAAATGAAAGCTCTCAAACGAGGATCCATGGCCAAATGTCTGTTCAGGGGCACTTTGAGAGAGACACTTAAAGAAGTACGGTACTGGCTCAGTGTAATAATCCTCCTCTTATCCTTTTCAAACCACGAGATGATGCTTTCCTCTCTCTCATGCTACTTAAGTTGGGCTTTGAGTGCCAGAGATGAATACAGGACAGAGAAAAAAAAATAACTTGCTCTTCTCTTTTATCTAAAATTTCATGCGAGTAAAAAATACAGCTATAACCTACGATTAAGCCAGCGACCGTCAAGAGAACTAAAGAGGTCTTCAGGGGAGCTGGTGTCCTAAAAGTCTCAAGGAGGGGGTGTCCAAAGAAAGATGCAAACAAGAGCTCTGTCCACTGACAGAACACTAGAACAGAAAACAAGAGTTTAAGTTCAGACCCATGCAAACAAATAAAGTGTGTGCCTCTGCCAGCCGCAGCACTTCAACCTGTAGCACAGCCGCCCGGGTCAGCAGTATCCCACCGAGCTTATTAATGAGTGAGCTGGGCCGGATATGTTGCTTTTTAATCTGCTTGAAAAACTACATTTGTCAGCGGGGGAGAGACACATTCGCCTTAACCTTTAGAGAAAGTATCTGAGAATGTTTTCTGCCTTCGTTCTTAACTCTTAACACCTTGAAATAAAGTAAAATGTCAGGCTTTGTAAAGATCACCTTCCAGGGAGCCGGCGCAATGAAGCAATTCTGCTTCCGTTACATATTCATTTTAAGCATGCATGGTGCTTGTTACTCACCAATATTGGGCTGACATTTAATAACTAATGTCAAAAAAGGATTGCGAACAGCTAAGGTCTATGAATGTTATCTTTAGGTGGCTTAACATAAATAAACCTATCATTGACATAGTGGTATAAACCATATGAATCTTAAGTCTGAATGGTACTGTGATCCCCTATATTGAATCACTGGAACTTTAGTGCTGGCTTTGTTTGCATTGGGAGTTATTGGACTGGCTGACATTTTCCATTTTCCAGTTGTTTGTCTGGTTAAGCTACGCATAGCCAGAGATTTCATATATTTCTTTTCGGATGCACAAGGTCTGTTTACATATGGAATAATTGGAAAGATGTCCCAGAATATATAGAAGACAAACTGTGCTCAAACATCATCACAAGATGTGGATAAATTGCTGATTATGTCTTCAAGAGATTCATGCAGATGCCCTGACTAACATTCTGTGACATTTGCTGCTAACATCTATAGCATTGACAACATGGGGAGGTTCTTTGGAAGAGTTTACTCCACAGAAATGGAACGCTTTAGTGAAGACGAGCAGTGTTCATGCTCCTATTACAGTGCTGTAACATTTCATTTCACAGCACTATATCGTTTAATTATGCCAATTATGGCACTTTTAACATCAGACTGTAGTTACTGCCATCACAACAGACTGGGTCACAACAGACACATAGCTTTGGAACTCGTCTTGAACGGCAAATCTAGTTTTCTAGGGCATTTCGATTCTTTTTGAGAATAGTTAAAGGTTGTTTGCGAGATCATAAATCATATATTGTCGAAAAATCCTTAGTGGTTCAACAAACAATGATCTGTATTCAATAATCAGATATGATTTCGTTGGTACAGAGTGTGCTACATCTCATTTCAGGAGAATCGATGATTGCTTAATTTGTAAGTCACACTGGATAAGTGCATTTTACTTAAGTACTTAACTTGAGAATGTCCATTTCATGCCACTTAATACTTATATTCTACTACAATTCAGAAGGAAACATTTTTTATTTCACTACATTTATTTTAGTTATTTGACAAATGTAGATTTACATATAGCTTTCAAAGCATGATGAGCTTATGAAATATGATGAACTGTGTGTAGATTAAACTACTCAATTTTATATAAAATACTTACAATTAGCTTCACCTTGACAAACTATTACAGTCAAATGATATTTCTGTACGAACGATCCAGTAATAATAATCCAACGATATGATAAACAATAGAGCAGCACTCACAGGGTCATTTTTCTGGTGCTTTTCAAATTGATACTTTAAATTAGTTTTACAAATAATACTTATGTATTTCTTTTGCAACAGTATTTTACATTGTGGCGTTGCTATTTTACTTGAAATAAAGGGCCACTGGTAATGTTAATAGGCCTGTAGCTACACTAGCCTGTAACTCAGCTATTGTAACATTAGACTCAACTTAGGGCTCTACACTTTTTGTTGGGCACTACTGCTACGAAACAAAAAAAAAAAACATCTGTTTTCATGAATAATCACAATGCCATGGCTGGGTAACTAGCAATGTTCCTGTTAGCCAACTAGCTTAGTTAGCTAAGTTGCTGCGTATTTAGCAGGGAGCTAGCTAGCTAGCTAGCTATGTCCCCATGTTTCTATGTTAGTCAGCTCAATAACCTCTTAATACGACAGATTAAGGAAACCTTTCTAATGCTTTTACGTTCTCAGTAATGCTTTTATTTAGACATTGAAATCTCCACAATGGCTGAACTGATTTTTACCATTCAAACTGCATTTGAAGAGTCCATCTGCCTTCATTCTTAAACAATGTCAACTGTGAAAATAGACTTCATTAATCTCTTACAATGAGGACCCTGGGAACATAGGGATGTCGTGGGACACCATGAGCTAAGGTTGCAAGCTAATAAAGTACAAATTCTATTAAAAACCGAGTTTTATAAATGTCCATACACTAGGTTTGTAACCAAAATTGTTTAAAAAAAACAATTCCTTCCCTACTTCCCCAGAAAACCGATAATCCCACTAGCAGATTGAGAGAAAAACAAAAAAAACGAATCACCTACTTTTTTTATTCATTGTTTGAAATTCTGGCACTTTAAACTGTTCTTCACATCATGGAAATTTCTGAACAAAATATAATTTCTGTGCTTTTTTTAGTGCTCAAAATGTCCCATTGCTCACTCAGTAATGAGGCACAAATCGAATTGTTTTCACCTCACACCAAAACCTGAAGAATATATCTAACTGTCCAGGTTCCACTGTGTTGCTGTGTTTAAATATCAGCTCCGTCAGACTGTAATTATGAAATGACAAAGTGCATTCAGTCTTACAAGAAAAAAAGGCGAGGGAGATTAACTTTCTAAACGTCACCGCCGTGGGAGTAGTTTACAGCCTGCTGTCCGTCATGACGAATGCATCTCTGCTCTCTGCTCGTTAACAAACGTCACCTGCCTGTTCACTGGAAAGAAAACCTGAGACCACACAATAAATCTCATTTATCCGGGGGAGTTGACTGAGACTGATTTGAGTTCACACAGCACAGGCAGTGTCTTCTTCTGATGGCCATCGGGATGCTACATATGGAGGAGATATCGGGGTTCAGTGCATTGCTTAGTGCAGTGGTTCTCAAACTGTGGGGAGCGCCCCTCTAGTGGGGCGCGGTGGTATTACAGGTGGGGCACAGGGGGAAATGCAGACTTTTTTTTTTTAAAGTAATTAATAAATACATGGCGACATGCCTGAACTTTCGTGTAAATGTTTACGTTACGCCGTTAACAGGTTACGCTTGCGCATGCGTGACGGCCATGATCCTTGGCGACTCACATGTGTGGTTTCGTGTTCAAAATGAAGAGACATTTGGCAGGCGGGAACAGAAAAGCAACCGCAAGCGATGCATCCGAGACGAACAGCAAGCAGCCAAGAAGAAAATATGATGACGCCTATCTTGCTCTGGGTTTCACAGTGAACGCGGTAGGAGATGATGAGAGACCAGTCTGTGTTTTATGTCTGAAAACTCTAGCTGCGGATAGTATGAAACCCAACAAATTAAAAAGACACTTGGAGACATTACACCCCACTCACGTCAATAAGCCACTGGAGTTCTTTTAGAGGAAACTTGATGAACACCGCAAGCAAAATGCAGTGTAAAACTCTTTATAGCCAAATATTTGAACTTGTTTTGTTTAGTTTTTCACAGGTTGCACTTTATTGTTATCTTGAAAAGATATTTAGTGCAAAACGGGTTAATTGCAGCCAATTGCAATAAGCTATTTTTTGCCAAATTGTAGTTCTTTTTTGCACAGATATAACTTTATTTGCATTGTTCGAACAAAGTGATTGCACATTTTATT